GACCCAGGATACTATCCACTGTACAAGTATGCAAAATTGGTGAGACCTTATACAGTGGTACAGGGGTTGGACTTTAAGCTTATATGAGATGACTGTATTTCTACTCATCATGTGCAAAATATGTGGTAAATCTTTGCTAGCAAAAGCTGGCTCTATACAGCCTAAAAGCATTGGCCTAATCTGACTAAAAGGCAAAACAGGTCCTGGCCACTTTATTGCCCTATAGCCATGATTTCGAAGAAAGCATTTGAACACATTATGCAGTAATTCCTTTTAATAATGCATTTAGATCCAGTGAACAGAAAAAATTGCTATAAAGTGAATTTTAATATGAACTGCCTATTTGACTGGTTCATGCAGTTCCAAAAAGATATAGATTACACACAGATGATGTTGGTTCAGAGTTAATTTTACTATGCACAAACATTAGAAATGGTACAACATAGTTGCTTTGGTGCATTTTACTAGAATGGTTTAATCATAAGGCCCTGATCTATGTGCAATCTACACTTTTTTTTAATGTATATGCCTGAGAGACGTCTTCAGATTAGCTGCAGCAGAGCCAGGGAGGGGGTAAGCCAGGCTTCCTAGTGGCAGCAGGTTTCTTTATATGCTAGCTTGATTGGATGATCCATGGGGAACCAGATTCTCAGCTCTCCAACACAACAATCCTGGTGGCCTGAACTGACCAGTGATACCATATTTCAGATAAACTTGTCATGACAGAAAAAATAGGGGACTGCCTTTGTTGTTGTTCTTTGTAAAAATGCTTGGCTTTAGCTCTGACCCACTAGTTTCCATCCTCTGAGTCAATGACCTCTAGCATTTATGCAGATGAGGAAGGTCAGAGAAAAGTTTGAGGTCATTATCTGCAGACGTTTTCCAGTTCAGTGATACAAAGATATATTTATAAAATATAAGATGGAAGGGACGGCATTGGCGTTCCTTAAATACAAGGAATGTAACAAAAAATGCAAACTAGTAATCCGGGAAGCTAAAATAGAATGCGAAAAGCATATCGCTGCAGATAGTAAAAAAAAAACCTAAAAAATTCTATTAATTTACAGTAAAAAGGTAAGAAAGAAGGAGATAGGCCCAATAAAGGACGGAAACGGGAAGTTTGGGATACCAGTATCCCTAAGAATGAGATGATGCGTGGACCTATATGGGTTGGACTTGATGGACGTATGTCTTTATTCAACCCCAAATACTATGTAAATTAAGTGGGTTAGAATACCAGGCAGGAAACTAGCCTTTTCAGAAGGTTGTCAGCAATAACAGCCACCAAATAGGATAGTGGATAGCTAAATCTCATCTGCGGACAAATGTACACAAGCATACTAGGGAATTTGAATCAACCAGCCTGCCAAGAGGTACTTCAATTTAAAAAATTGTCCTGTATTTATAAAGCAGCTCTCTTGCTATAGTCAAGTTGCCCAGGCAAGTTTTTCCTGTAGCAGAAGAATATAGACACTGCTTTGTTCACGAGAAATTGACCCCCATCTCCTTGGTTCAATGCAGCTGTAACCAGGCCCGGATTTCCCACAAGGCCACCGAGGCCCGTCCTCAGGGCGGCAGCGGTGACCTTGTGGGGAATTGGCAGTGTGACCAATCACGACGGGGCGGGCCGCAACTCCTCCCCCCAGCTGTCAGATATAGGGCACGAGGTATGAATCCACCGTCGTCAATTCACATTAACAGGACGCCAGTGGATTCATACCTCGCCGTCTACCTTGCTATCACACAGGGGCTTGTTATCTCCTGTGTGATAGCAATGAAGTTAGGTGAAAAAATTAATTACTATTATTAAAAAAAAAAATTTAATAAAAATGTAAAAAAAAATATTCAATAAAAAAATAAAAAGGTGATTAAAAAGTAAAAAATAAGAAAATAATTATAAAAAATAAACAATAAGATAAAAACTATAAAGTAAATTATAAAAAAAAAGTAAAAAGATAAATAAAAAAATTAAATTGATTAAAAAATTAAATAAATACAAAAAATTAAAAAATCAGAAGAAATAATTGAATAAAAAATAAAAAGTGATAAAAATAAAGAAACAGTAAAAAAAATAATTGAAACTAACCCCGCCGCCCTGGCATCTGGTTGTCATTCACAATTAATGAATTGGCGGCACAGGGGGGGGAGGGGCGTATTGTGGAACCTGGCCTTGGGGCGGCAGGGAGAGTAAATCCGGCCCTGGCTGTAACTGGTTCCTAATGTTAACAGAAATTCTCACTTAGATTTATCTACTGCCCAACAGGAGATATATAGTTCCAGTGTGAATAGAAAAGATGACCTGACAGCATAGAACAAGGAGATATAGACTAAACTCTTGCTCTGCAGATAAGTGTTCATTGAGCACCAATGATGCAGCGGCATTATTTGACGTGCCCACTGACAACAATATAGGAGACATTATACTGCCGCTGACACTAATGTAAGGGCCATTTTTTTCCATTGACACCAATGCAGATCAGTACATTTATATATGCATCACTACTGCACTCAGAAGTGAGAATATTTTCCTTATTTATAACCACCCGATCGGGCTAAGTAATGTCATACAAAAGTATTTGTCTCTGCATCCTTCTAGAAAGCCAATTTTTTAAACGCATCTCTCCAAAAGGAAAATGCTAATTGCAGGGGACACACGGTGCCAGAAAATTAGATTTTTAGGGATATTCATAGACAAATGGTTTCCAGAACTCCCCATGACTACAATGAATTTTTGGCAGTGTTAGACACTAATACCTGGCTGCAGATTGAAATGGAAAGGTAACAGCTTAACATAATTAGGAGGAAACATTTTCATTTGGGATATCTGCACCTGAACTGAAACTTTATCATAATTAGGAGGAAACATTTTCATTTGAATAGACTATAGAATTATGTAAGTATATAATATGAGATATTGAAGAAAAAAAAGTGGTACAAAAGGATTCCAAATTCTTCAGTTCAGCAGGGTAAAACTAGACTGTCCTGGATTATTGCATTACAGTCTTCTACACATTACCAAAAGTCCACAAATGCATCACATGACATTACCAGCAGGTCTTCAGTAGAGTGATTCTCCACGAGAAAGTGAGTGCTTCAGCTCTTTGTGGTCAACTTTTCCCTCCTATTTGAAGGATACAATACATTTCTTGACAATACTGCATGAGGTTGTAGTACCTGATGGTACATTATTAGTTACTCTTAATACCAAGGCACTCTATTCAAGTATTTTTCACAAGCTGGGTTCGGAGGCTGTTCTGACATGCTTGAATAATAAGGGAGGTAGGAAAACAACTGCACAACATGTTTTTGTTAACTCTATTGGAATTTCCACTCGCACACAAGAGAGTGCAACGCTATGTACCTTTTACCCACATACGAATGGTGGATTTTCCCACAAGGGGAATATAGTTTCCTTACCTTACCATTTCACTAAGACACTGTTCAAAGTAAGCTGAAAACTTGTGGGACTTTACTGTATACTTTGATTGTGCGGGGGCATACAGTATTTTGAGGCAGCATTTAACCACCAGCTGTGTTAAAAAGCTGTAGTGCATATAATATAAGGTCGATATTCTGTGGACATAAGGAAACCAGCATATACATATTGACCTGCAAGTGAAAGGATCAAGACATGCAATGCGTTATATTTACTTTAGGTAAAGGGGAATGGATAGTTATCCATTTTGATGAGTATTTACTCTATAGTGTTGTGAATTCATTAGCTTTACATTTTCTACTGTGTCACTTATTTGTTAATAGCTTTATGAAAATACTGTGTGCACTTCATTAATTGTTCATTTATCAGTATTGGCTGTTCTAGATATACATATAAATAGCAGTATTTCTAAAGTAGTCTTCCTATGCAGTGCATATAGGACAAGGTATTGTGTTTAATCTTTTATTCCTTTATAGGACAAGGTATTGGGGGTGATTTACTAACCTTAACACACGCACGAACCAGGTGCGTGTAATTTTCACACAGCAAAACGTATTTATCAACCAAAAAGTCTCTAAAAGCATATTTCCACTAATGCCATATATGGAAAAATCATGCACATGATGCATATATAATGCTGCTTCACAGTTTAGACAAAAATGGTTAGCTCATGCATTTACATTCCTGCATTCATCAACGCAAGCAACACAACGTAGAGCTAATTTACACAACATCACCTTGCAATTCATGCAGGGCTTTGCACAACACACCTGCTGGGTGTGTACACACTACAAAGGTGTCTAGATTCCACCAATAGATCATGCTGGTAGGGAACACACTACAGAGGTGTATACTTGTTCGTGGTGTGTTTATAAGGTTAGTAAATCAACCCCATTGTGTTTAATCTTTTATTATTTTAAATATGTGTCTACAGTATATAATAAAGATGGTACTCATGCTATATTCAGCGATTCCTCAAGAGTACATATGATTCACAGATAGCAAATTTATTTGGTTTTTGAGAATAATAACATACCATATGTAAAACTCAAATATAGTAATGGGGTAGGGGGTAGGCAACCTTGGCAATTCAATTGTGGTGAAACTACTAGTCCCATAAGGCATTGCAAGACCCTAAAAGCCACAGGCATGACTCCTAGAGGCAGAAGCACAATGGGATTTGTAGTTTCACCACAGCTGACGTGCCAAAGGCATTCCCTTCTCCCCCACCCCCTTTGCCCCAGATGACGTGCACTGTCACGTGTTCCAGGAAGGAGACCCAGTGTTCCTGGAACTAAAGGGATATTGATTTATAGAAGAATGGGAGGAAACAAAAATAATGTATGCAAAGAATAAAAGGCCTGCAATTATCTATGAGTATATGTTTGTAGATTGCCATTACTAAAAATACGGTATCTAAAACTGCATTTGTTGTAATTTTAAAAATAAGGGTGAAGTTCCTTTTTAACTATTATTTTCTTTCATCCTTCAGCCCTGTTTTATTATGAATATTTTCACCATCATCATCCTCCATATGTTTAACCATATCTCATGTCATTGACAGATGAATCCATGCAGAAACTATTTGACAATGGCAATGGAGTTGTTTACCAAAATATCCAATTATGGCTGACCTCACGGCACACCCTTCTTCAAATGACAGGTGCACTTGCTATTGCTAACTTTGCAAGAAATGGTAAGTTTTGGGCTCAAGAGTTTAAACATTGTACTTAAAAAAACGGTTATTATAGTTTTTGCCTTAGCAATCAAAACAGTTTCATATTTCATTCTTGTGGGGCTATAAATCAGGAACTTTGATTGGGTAACGAGGAAGGATGAGTTTATCAGAATTTTGCATCAAAAGTTTTCTATCAATCAGCTTAAATCAGCTCCCACATACACTTGTAAGTTGCGTTGCTTTTACCCAGTTTATCCCAAACCAGCTCAATGAAGTTTCAATCTAGAGACGTTGCTGTTCATTCCATGTTTTGAAGCCTGTCGTCTTATTCTCTTCTTCTAAGGTAGTTTTTACTTTACTTTGCTTTGCTGTTTAGGATCATTATCTTGCTTTAGGATGGACTCCTGACCAACTAGATATAGTGTAGAGCAGGGGCCTCAAAAATTCATTTGGGGGCCATTGTACAAATATCATTACATGCGGTTAGGAATGAATCATTATCCCTGGATGCACGATCGAAGCATCCAGGAAGAATGATTCCTAACTGTATGTAATCATTTCACATACAATTACAAGCAGTGTGCAGGCATTGACATGCAGCGGTTGTCATCTAATTATTAACTTGAATGGGTGACAGTTGCTGCTTGTAAACACCACATTAGAGACTCCTGCTGTAGGAAAACACAAATTCCTGATGCAGGAATCCCTAATCACACCTAAACTTACAGCTATTAATGGGGCCTTATTGCTCCTAGTTATCTCTCACTTCACCCTTACTTGCACAATTAAACCTTAAAGACCTAAACACTTAACCAACTCCAAGCCCACTACCCCTTGGCACCCTTCACAGTCTCTTAGGCCATATCAGACCCAGTGCTCCCAGCCTACCTCAGCCCTAGTAATCCACAGCCTATTGACCCCTTTTCCCCCCGGGGAATGCCCTCGGCACCAGAGCCCACCTGCCTTCTAAACAGCCTTATAGGCCCTGTCCTCTCCACAACTTATTTGTGTACCTTAACCACAAAGCCCCCAGACCTCTCAATGGTCTGCAAGACTATCTTTACCCCATAGATTCCACAGACCCTTAGCCCCAGAGACCTTTCCCCCCAGAGGACCTTTACCCACTTTAGCCCCAATGCCCCCCAGCCTACCTTAGCTCTACTTCCCCCCTCCAGTATTGCCCCATCTACTTAACCTCACCCCCACATCAGCCCCAGCCCACTCCAAACCCTACTAGTCGACCTCAATGCTAGTCCCTTCCACAGCCTCTAAGTCCACCTTTTGCCTCAGTTCCCTCCAGCCTCCTTTAGATCGACTCTATTGATTGGGAAGTCGGCAAACACATACCGCAGACCCCTAACTTCCCGATCCTCTCCCAGCAGAGTGCGGTGACTGTCAATCACCGCTCCCCTCAGGGATTCCTCGCTCCCCTCTCTGTTTCTTCAGTGCTGACCGAAGAAATGGACGGGGGAGGAGGTGGGCACTGCCGGCTCTGCCTATAGAGAGGCAGAGCCAGCTGTCGATCAGCCAGCAGGGTGAATCTTAACAGTATTTTCAGGATCCATCCCGGCTGCGCGCAGCTCTGCGCCCTTAGCCTACAGCTCGCAATAGCCCGCTATATACTGAGTTTTGGGTCACCGGAGGACATAGGTATATGTCCTCCCGTGATCCTGAAGAGAACTATGGGCAAAAAAGGTTGCCCTATAGTTTTCCTTTACAGTAACTAGATAGTGTGGTCAGGGCCGGCCTTAGGGGTGTGCGAGCCTTGCAGCCGACACAGCTCATCCTGGGGGCGGCTTCTCTCCCCCTCACCGCTGGCCATCCGATGTGACAGTGCGCAGGAGGGAGCGCTGCCTGCTGTCAGGATGGCGGAGCGGTGAGGGGGAGAGAAGCCGCGCCCGCAGCTGTCAGGATGGCTGAGCGGGTAGGAGATCGGAGCCGCTGTCATCCTGTCAGTTGACAGAGCGGGGGATCGGTAAATAGCATTTATATTTACCGATCCTCCATGTGAGAAGGACAAACACTGGAGCGATCGTCTGATCACTCCAGTGTTTGTAAATAACTGGGGACACATAGTACTATGTGTCCCCAGTTATGAATGAACAGGCTGTGATTTACATCACAGCCTGTTCATTCAAGATTTCCTCAATTG